ATTTAAATAATAATAAAAATATATGGCTTTCCGCTATATATTATGTAATGGCGTATATTAATATAAAAATAATAAATCTACACTTAGTAAACTGAATAATTTTATAAAACACAAGAAAAAATATATAAATATGACTGTTTTAAATAATATTATATATTCCCGTAAACAATAACCACGTATAAATGTAACAAAAACTGAAGCACTAAAATTATACAGAAGTACTAAACTCAGAACCCTTAGTTCTTGTGCCCTTAACCCTATGTCATGATCCATTGACGATATCTCCTTATTTTAAGTTAATAATTTTTTATTAAATTATATAATACGTATTATCATGTAAATCACCATGAAGAAGAAAAAGTTATGTATTATTTTTATATTTGTATTAATAGAATATATTCTTATTGTACAAGTTTTTTTATTATATAGGAAATTCATAAAATTATATAATTTTTATTAGTGAAGGAGCCTTTATATATTATATTTTAGTAACCCATATTTCCTTGCTTATATGAATAACAATTACTGCTATCATTAGTACTATATGAAATCTAGTGTTGGTGTCCATGCATACTTACATCAATTATTTAGTTATAAAAAAAAGTGTATAATTGTTCTTCAAAAATTATGTCTTTCTTTTTTAAATATGCATTTTTATGTTAAAACATTTTTTTATTTTATGTCATCAACCTGTAAATATGTATATTGTTATCTAAGATGATTGAGAATATTGTACTTTAGAAATTTTACAAGATAAATTACAAATTTTTAATATATTTAATTTACATTTACAATAAACATCATAAAAGAGTGTGAATAAGAATATAATTCTAATATAAATATTTTTATTTTTCAGTATGTATATGTGGAACTATTTCCAAAATGCCAAGAGGCTATGGAGGAGAGTGTACAGAGCAAGGAAAATCATCATGATTTTTACTGTAAAAAAGTATATATAAATTCCGATGATATAAAAACTTATTTTGATGAAGAATGCCCGAAATTTTTTTCTTATTTAAATAAAATAGATGCTATATCATTTAGTAAGCCTAACTTAAAGTGGGCAGCCTGTATATACATGTATTATTGGATATTTCATGAACTGTTGAAGGGTAATGAAAAAGGTTCTAATTCTAAAATACTATATGAAAACTTTATAAAGGCATTTAATGAAATGGACATTGAAAAGTTTAATAATTTTATAAGAATTGTTATTACAGAAAATGAACTAGAATATCTCAAAAATATATATGATATGAATAAAGAACTTGACGACATAGTGAATACCACAAAGAAATCCTGTATTGATAAATGTAACTCTGCCAAAAAATGTTCTCATTTATATATGCAGCACAAAAATTCGTGTACACATAACAATAACAAAGATTTTTGTAATGCACTAGAGAAAATTAGAGATCGATATAATACACAAATGAAAAGTATGTCTTGTGGCGATGATACACCGAAATGGTTGCCTTCTTTCCAACAATTTAACTCAATCATAGTAATCATAACTACAATTGTTATAATAGTAGTAATATTCATTTCCATAATTATTTTGTATAAAGTTAGTTATGATATAC